TTATAAGCTTATAGTTGCGTAGTATTTTTATTTACGTATCGCAATACTTATATGATATTTTTAGTGGACAGGATCGTCGAGTTTTATAGTATAATACGTTTCATTATACTAGACAGTCAATATCTAGTTTTCCTTTAACTATAGGTATCCAGTTGAACCTGGTTAGCCTTGGACTGTACTTTGTTGATTAACGTTACTACGATCGCAGCTTGTGATCTATTAGAAAACGATCTGCTGAAGATGTATACAACTTTATTTAACATAGTTGTACCGCGATTATTAAATACAGAATTATATTGGTACACGTAACAATTGTAGCAATAATTCTCAAATTTTTTGCAAATCTTTGTGTTTCTAAATTTTTAAATATTCTAGTATTCAAGTATTTCAATTTCTGAGAAGTTAAATTTCTAGACCTGCAAATTTTAAAAGTCTGGAAAGTTTTCATTTATAATTTTTCAAAGTTTCGATCATTAAAATTATTAAAGTTTCAGTTATTTAAATTTTTGAAGTCTTAATTATTTAAATTCTTGAAGTTGCAATTAGTCAAGTTTTTAAAGTTTCATTTAGTCAAATTCTTAAAGTTTCAATTATTCAAATTTTTAAATTTCAAAACATGTTCCTAGTAACCTAACCAAATATCCTAACCTACCTGCACCAAATAACCTAACCTAACCAAAGTAATAAAGAACATTTCATCAAAACAATTTTTAAATGAAATATTGAAACATTCAAAATTGTCAATCGATAAACACTAGTAAAATTAAAAAAAGAAATATCGTAAATTATAAAATGAGGGATAAAAATAGAATACGGAGAAATGAGATTTAGTCCGTCTGGCGCAATAAATATACTTAAATAGATTTCACAATAATCGTGTACGGAAACTCAGGAAACTGTCTATTAGTAGTGTCGGTTCACGGTTGGTCACCGATTGGAGTTACTTTTCGCTATCGAAAGGTAATCGAGTTCCATAGGACATCGATCTGAAAAAAGTACGTCGAGACTGGTTTCAACATTCAACGCGTTCGTTTCGCCGCCATTATTTGCCTCGAGAAAAACAGCGAACCATTAGCTCTACTACAGTAAATCATAGTGTTACGTTCAAAAAACAAAGTTTAAAATTTTCAACAATATCGCAATGTAGGTTCTTGTATGCCAATCGAAAGTTCTTCCTTTTTCGCAATCAGTAAAGGTACTTATATCTGTGACGGAAAAAAGTGAATTTATTGCAGGTGTTCGTGTCTTTAAGAATATGTGACTACTGTATATTTACATTATCTATTTTATAAACTTTGTGAAAATATTTAGGAATGGTTCTTATTTCATATGTTATTTTTATGTTGAGACATATGTTACTTGCTTTAAAATATTTTGATACGTGAATTAACCCGTTGTACTATGATTTATTTGTCAAGAGCGTCAGTCAGAGCTGACTAGTTACTATAATATTAAAACAGACAAAGAAAGTTAAAATATTATGTTAATATGGTATTATGCAATGGTTTACATATTTTTATCAATGTACCGAAGTAAAAAGTTTTGTCTATTTTAATTAATATTACCCTCTTCTTATACCAGTCGAAGAAATATATTTAAAATTACCCTCTCGTGCTGTGAAGAAGAATTCAACGTAAAATTAATTTTTACATCGAACACAGTTTCTATCTTGAAGTCTCCAAAGACGCAGTTACCGAAATAAAAACAGAAAGTATCCGTTCGAGATCGAATCAATTTCATCGAAGGAACACTTGCAATTACATAAGACCGTTTAGGCAATTACGTAATATGGTACTATGATGTAATAAATAATTTTGTAGCAAACGACAATACAAACGATTTGTGACAATCTGAATAAGTAAAATACGTACGAGAAAAGTCTCGTTTCAAAGATCTTTATTCTGTTACTTTTAAGTCTGCGCCTCTTTGTCCTATTAATTATACAACGTTAATAGAATTTCCGCTTCTTTGACGCGTTTTTTTTTTTTCTTTTTTTTTAACGAATACTTTTGAGGTTGATTCAGAATGAACGTCAAAGCAGTCATTTGCATGACTTTGACGTGCTAAAAACGATGCCGTCAAGAATTTGATGATCAGACAGTTTCGATTAAATAAATTGTTTCATAAACATATAAAAACATACGTATATGAATTTTAATTTAATCTTCAAGTTAAAAAAGAACGGTTATTAACACGCTTCGAGAGCAAACACTTTCTCGTAAAATTGATTATTCGTATTTTTTATTAAATGTGCTAGTTCTGCAGGAATTTGTAAATATTTACAGATTTAATATTCGAATTGAAATTTCGAGTGAAACTACTTTGAGAGGCATTTATCTTGTCTTTGAAATTTAATGGACATGAATATACTTTCAGTATTTGCAACATTCTTGGAATCAGTGAGATTACAAAATTTAGTTTTAATTTTTAATTGATTAAAATTGAAAGACACTGTGTAGCAGCTAATAAGACTAAATGATTTACATTTACATTTACAGTTGTAAATAACAAGAAAAATAAATAAATTAATTAAATTAACCCTTTGGCCTACAACATCGACTCATGACGCACGTTACAGTTCAAATGTGACAAAACTAAATCGCATTTGCATAAAAATCGAGTATTGAGTATGATACTAATTGCAGTTTGTATAATTAAAGATCGCTAAATGCAAACTACACCTAACATTTCAACATTCTTTATTTACCTTAACGCTGCAGTAATAATTAGCTGTTCTGACGCACCTGCTGAAAAACTTGTATGCCAAGGGGTTAATTAAATAAAAAGATAAATTATCTAGGTAGAATTAACAACTAAATAATTCTAGTATGTTATAAATATTCAACAAGAAACTTACAGGAAATATAATATACATGCATTATAATAAATTCAAGTACCTGTTGGCCCCAATAGTATGCTGAGAAAAAATGTTCTGGAGAAGGAATGTTCGTTTTAATGGAATAGTAAAATATGTAGTGAGATTATAATTTTAATGCAATAGTATAGAAATATAGTGGAATTAATGGAATATAGAAGATTAGTATGGTGATATAGTGAAATAGTAGAATAGCAATATGATGATATAATGAAATAGCAAAATAGTAGTAAGATGATATAACGAAATAGTAGAATAGTAGTATGATGACATAATAAAATAGTAGAGTAGTAGTATGATGATATAATAAAATAGTGGAATAGTAGTATGATGATATAACGAAATAGTAGAATGGTAGTATGATGATATAATAAAATAGTAGAGTAGTAGTATGATGATATAATAAAATAGTAGAATAATAGAATGATGATATAATGAAATAGTAGAATAGTAGTATGATGATATAATAAAATAGTAAAATACTAGTATGATAATGTAATGTTTAGGATAACGTGAGGTAACGTACGTGAATTTAACATATATGACTAATTTCCAGAGAAGATTGAATAACATCGATAAGGAAAAAAAATCATTTTAGAAGATAAACACCTTACCCATTAAAAAGTTCGGTGTACCTCTTGCGCAAAAAAACAAAACCATTGAAAACAAAAAACTCAAAGAGTTGCGACTGTGTTTTGTTCGCGGCGATTCACTTATTCAAGATGAGATTGTACAACCGTCGCGTAATTGCAGTTTATGATTATTTATGAGAGGATTCACGTGAATGTAATTTTTCAGATACTTAATCACTGAACTTACGTAAAAGACAGTTACAATTATAAAACGGATACATAATTATTATTCGGTATTATCGTTACCGAAACGTGTCTCATTGCATAATTCTTGTTGAAGTTTGACATTTTGTTGCTTCAATTATCGTCGATACTCTTGAAACGTGCTGAAAGACACGTATATATCGAAACGAACGAGTTTGAAAGGGAAAACTTTACCTAAAGAAACGTGAAGCTTTTGTACGAAACTAAAACAGTGTAACTAAAACTTAAAAATGCGATATTGTTCCAGGAAATGTCGGTCCTCTTTCCGCAAGATCGTTTGCGCGGTTAGTTCGGAATAAAATTCAAGGATCGTGAGGTGTTCACATAAAACTGACGTGTTTCCATTAACAAACAGATTTTATTACCTGCTGTTTCATCAAAGAAAATTACAACAATATTGATACTCTTTAGTGCGTCGTTAACGACAGGTGAATTGAGCCCCCGTTCAAGGATTTCAACTTCTTTTAAGGACGTCGCTTTTTCAAATTAAATAAGTTAATTTCGTTCACAAAAGATTGAGATTTATGTTGAGTCAGTTTTTGTTAATCTTTTAGGTCCTAAATTCTAGTATGACTCTGTGAGCCTCAAAGACTCTTCAATGTTGCAAATAAGAAAAAATTCATTTTGTCTACGATTATGTGCGAACTCTGTTACAAACTTGAAACGTTAAAAAGGTTATTCAGAATTTTTTAGCGTTGTGAATCAGCGAAAGACAAGATCTTGGAATGTTTTTCTTCTTGTAATATTTCAGAAGCAACGATTACTTGTTTACACGATAAACATCGCAATTAAAATAAAAATGATAAGAGATAGAAACTGTTGAAAATCATATTTTGTTATTTTTATGCGATTATAAAATTGTTATTACTTTTATATCATTTCTCAGTAGTTGGGACAACAACTCAAGCTTTATAGCCGACGAGTTTTATTAAAAGAAAATATTAAAGACAACGATATTCAATTCAAACGTGATACTCAAATCGATTGAAAATATTGATGAACCACGTATAAATTCACTGAATAGGTCGAGACACAACGACTTCGAAAAATCACTACTTAATTATATAAATTTACACTAAAATTATAAACATTATATACGCTTTATTTCATAAACTTTAATTAAGTTTAAGATCGTGTCACAAAAAGTAACATAAAACTTTCCCATGGTTGCGATTGAGAATGTGCTCACGGAATAACTGAACGGGCTTGTTGCCTTCACAAAAGTATGCATCGATTAGAAAACTTGTTTGAACACGCGTTAATTACGGTTGTTTTGTATCATTTTACAGAAATCCAACATGGTGGAAGAGGCGGTCGGCGTTGGAACGCGGTTTGACCGTGATTGCAGTTTCCGGGGTGCTTTTGTGCATCGCTTTAGCGGTTGCACTCGGTGTTCTGGCTGCAAATACTGCAACCTGTAGCACGTCATCAAGGAATGGTAAGAAAATCTGGGAAAACACTTTTATTCAACAGCCTACAATAGTCTTATAAGTGCATGAACATTAATTATAAATTATTTAAAACTTTTAGTGCTTATTTTGCTGCTGAAATTCATTGATTCATTAATTTAAATATAAACGTTACATTCAATTATTAGAATATTATTTTGATTATTAAATTTAACTCGATTATTAAATTTATTTAAATATTTATCTTAACTCGCATAAATTTAATTAGATGATAGTTTTAGATGTGTACTATTTTAATATTTATATGTTGATCGATTAAAAGTTTTAGAAACATTGCACCGTAAAATGTAGTTGGAGGATTAAAAATGTTGTGTCACAGAAATTACGTATTCGATAAAGGAGTTATGATTTTGTAATCCTGCTTGCATAATTATCTGAAAGGCAATTATTTATGAACACGATGCAATATTCTATGCTTGTAAGTTACGATGATGTTTCAATCGAATTTTTATTGAGATAAATATAAAACATTTCCAGAAGCTATTCAGAAGTTTTAGAAATATTTTATATATTAATAAACGAGTTGTGATAAATGTTAATAAAACGAGCGATTTTTTATTTCAATTAAAGGAAAAATGAGGACGTTTTCTAACAAGATGCTGCAACGCAAATGCTTTTTATTGACACGTGCTTCTTGCAGTTAACAAGGAACATATAGAATACATAATATACAAGGATGACTATATTAGGTTGACAATTAAATAGCGACCTTCAGATTTTTAATACACAAAATTCGATTAAAGTCAGCGATACTCGAACCAATCTTTCACAATGTTTGTAGTAATTTTGTAAATATTTGAAATAAAATTCTAACTATTTTGAAAAAGCTAAAAGGTCTTGCATTTAATTATCGATCTAATAAGATTATAATTACTAACGATTGATAAAGATATTATAATCATGAAAAATGAAAAATCTATATTAGATATTTGACCATTACACGTTAAGGTATATGATCAATATCGAAACGTAAGATTTTTCCAGCAATTATGATTAATTCGTCGCTCTTATCATGCCTTATAGTTCACACGCTTCAAATTGTCGCGATTGACACTCGTGTTTCATTAGAACTTCCTTGTCATTGAGTTGTCTAACACTATTTAATGACATCAATTAATATACCATCTCGACAAAATGATCTCCATATCTCACTGAAATATTATCTTCCTCTAAAAATACTTAATTATTATCTTATCGTACTTCGAAGCATTCGTCAGATTCATCGATTTCCGAATAATAAACAAACCAACGTAAAAATAGCTTTCTCAACAATTATTTACGAACTGCTCCCACAGATCATGTACGTCATCAACAAATGATTATTTGAAGTGTTCAATTAAAACCTCTTCGTTCTTTTTTCGAACTGTCGGCTAAAAATGTGTTTTGCGTAAATGCTGTTGCAAGGGAACCGATAACGGTTCTTTAAATATGTCGAAAAAAGAAATGAACAGCGAAGAATTTCAAGTACGCGGAAACTGACCGAACAGGATTACGTGTCGTAAATTTTGATCGATAATCAATGTCACGTGCGACCTATATGCTGATTTCTACTCGCGAATCGACGCATTGTTTACGCATTGCTTTCGCGAAAAACCAAACGGAGGCATGCATGATGAGGCGTATTAAGAAACGGATGGAAGCACTTAACTTCGTCTTCTGTAATTTACTTGTTGCGCCAGGATCGTTATGAAGTTGGAACCATATAAGAAAAATATATAGATCTCTAGTCAGATTTATGTGAAATTATTAAAAAATGTTTAGACGCAATTATGATGCTGAATTCTATATTATCGATTTTTGTATCCTGGAATTCGGATATTTTTCAAGTTTGAAAGTTTTATTTAAAATATTAAAAAATTCTATATTTTCTAATTTTCAAGTCTGTCAATTTTCAATCTTAAAATTTTTAGTATTTCAAATTTCTGGATTTCCAAATTTTATCATTCAAATTTCTAATTTTCAAAAGTTTCAATATTCGAATTTTCATGTTTTCAAATGCATTTTCAAATGTATACATTTTTTATTTTTAAATTTTTAGCTATTCAAATTTCTCAATGATCAAATTCTCAAGTATGTAAATTTGTAATCTTCAATTTTTAAATTAACAAATTTTTAGTATTTCAAACTAATCAATTTATAAATTAGAATTAATTAGAGTATATTTAAATTGCAAATTTTTCAATTTCCATGAGCGAGTAATTCTCCGATACTTCTTCGGCGGCTTTATATGGCAAGCATCGAACATTTCTTCCCCTTCTGTGCGTCCGATTATGAATACAACAATCTGAACGCAAACCATACGTCTGCGTAAACGAAAACGCGTAATTTGACGTAAAAAATAATGACGTCAGTACTTTTGTTTCTGACGCATTGGGTAAATTGTTTTGAGAATTATTCACCGGGCCAGGTGATGTTTCCCGCGATGGTAACCTCTTAAAATACAGGGTGAGTTTGTGTATTTTCGAGCGGGTGTCGATCGACCACCTGCAGTGTCCACAGTAGATTCGATCACTGAATCATCGAGATATTTTTACGAATCATTGAAAAATAATCGTACATGAACGACTGGTCGTTGCGCTGTGGCGCCAAGATATTGTTGTTCTTTGCGAATGACTAGTAAGTTTACTGTTCAAGATCAATGAAAGATCGTGTATGAGTCAAAATCTTTAACACGATCACTTCCATGTAACCAGAGGATATAAGAATATATTTTTAAAAATTTATTTGACGTATATAATTAAATATCTAAAATATCGAACTTGTAACAATTCAAATCTTTTAATTTAACTTATTATTTTGCAAATCTTGCAGTCTTGTTAAATAAAGAGGATTAATGACAAAAAGTTTGTAAGTGTAATACGACGATTAACATTTCTAAATTTTAGAATTTATGTATCTGTGATTTTTTAAATTTTTTGTCTTCAAAATTTGAGCATGTCTATGACGCACCTCATGCGTCACGTAATTAAGATATCAGTGTCTGAATTAACGAATAGAATCATATAAAAATTAATATTAGTATAAGATTAAAGAGTAAAGATCAGTTCACATGTTTTTTTTAGCTGAAGATACTTCAATGAAATATTTCATGACGCACCAGGTACGTCTCGCAAGAAAAATTTCTGAGCAGTGCATATGATAGATGGAATTTTGTAAAAATTGTTATTAATATCAATATAAAATTGAAGAGTAATTTACAGATTATAGCTAAAAATAAAATTTTACCTGCTCGAAATAAAGTTATAAGAAAGTGAAGTTGTTTACAGAGAATCGAATTGCAACAGGAACAACATGTATAAACATGTATGACGCCAGCAGTTAGACGGTTAAATTAGTTTACACTTCCGTTTACTATGCCTCGTGCCGGACTCTAAGAGTATTGACAAACTTATTGCTGACTTGCATTTTCCACCCTCTTTGAACGCGATAAATAAGAAATTAGGTAAACCGTTCAATACTGGAGAAAATAGTAACAACTGTTATCATATGATCATATACCTTTGTTATCATATGACATAGGTACAAATATAATTTGCAATATGAATTTTTTTTTTAATTTTAACTCTTCGTGTTTTATTGCAATGTACGAAGTAGTCATTAGCATAATCTGTACAATTTAACTTAATTGAGCTGGAACAATTGAACGTGTCACTGAAAGATGAATCGAGTGATTTCTTGAAAGTAAGAAGTATTTTTATTAAATTATCCTTCGCCAGTCCTTGAGTGAATTTATTTTTACAAAGGAAGGAAATGGATATATAATGCAAATTTAATAGGCACTGCTGCTGAATTGAGTTTACATGTAATTACCTTGTTCTAAATAGCTGTTCTAAGATTGAATGATACTGGAACAAGACTTAAGTAATCACAACTTTCGAAATATTCCATAAAACCGAAACAGTAACGCGTGAATTGTAGTAACGAATGATAATTGACCAAATAACGAGCACAAATTTGGTACAAGTTATCTTCATTAATCCGCTAGTTTTTCATCCTTGCAAATCGATTATTTTTAACTGTGGTCGAAGAGATGAAAAAATAGAGTTAAATAAAAAATACAGTGACTCACCTAGCCAAAGTCTTCCACTCTCCTTTTGTTAGCGATTCATAAACGACATGCTTATTACCGCAGCTTGAAAACGGATCATTACTAACAATAATTAACAGTGCCGTCTTGCGTTGTTTTTGTTGTTGCAATCGCACCTGCCTCCGCTGCTGCACGAGAATAGAACCTGTTAACTCAGAGGGATTACCGTCCACAGCCGATGCCCTAAATGGATACAGAAGTTCGAAAGACATTCAAATAGTGGACAGAGGACCACCCTGCGACGATAACGTTTGTTTCACACCGGAATGCATTCACACCGGTTGGTAGAAAATTCTACTTTCGTCGATTCACTCTTGCAACACGATCGAATGATTTGTGGTAAAATTTTAGCATCTAGGTTACTGAAGAATATGGACAATGAGGTGGAACCTTGCGATGACTTCTATGATTTTGCTTGCGGTGGTTTTCTCAAGTCTACCAACATTCCGGATGATAAAACAAGCGTAAATACGTTCACAGAGATCGGTGATGAATTGCAAAATCAATTAAGGACGAGCATCGAGGAGAAGAGCTCTCCTGATGAACCGAAACCGTTCAGGCTCGCGAAGAATCTGTACAAAGCTTGTATGAACAAAAGTAAGTATGATTAATGTGCTACTACAGATTCTTTAGGTTCTTTTATTTTTTAACTATTCAGAACGCGATCTGAGGAATTCTGTTCAATTTCAGTAAATTGTTAACTTGCCTTATTTCCAAAATGTCAAATTTCTAACAAACAAGTATCTAAATCTTTAAATTTATGAATTCTCAGTTTCTGGCTTTTTGAACTGGAATATTTACAAATTCCCATATTGTCAAACATCTAAATGTACAAACAGCACCCTACAAATTAACTTTAAATTTTTTATTTCCTGAGAAATTCCAAAATTCCCAGTCTTCTGTTTGATCAAACTTGAATTTTGCACGTAACCCAATTATTTCAGCGGTGATCGAACAGCAAGGTTTGGAACCTCTGATGAAGATCTTAGAAAAATTAGGTGGATGGCCAGTGTTAGAAGGTGATAACTGGAACGAAAACGATTTCCACTGGACAGAATCCGTGTATAAATTCCGCAAGATGGGCTACTCGGTCGACTATTTCATCGACTTCAGCATCGGTGTCGACCTGAAGAACAGCACGAAACGGATAATCGATGTACGTACAAGAAAACGACGTCCCATCCACCAGCTGCTGTAATGTTCAATGAAATTTACGCCTGGTTGTAAAGTTTGAATCGCTAATGGAAAATAAAATTGCATTTTAGCGGAACGGAGAAGCCGCTCGTAAAGTCACGCGAATCGTTAATGCAAATGAGCTTGCTTACATTTTAAATCACATACCAGTAGAAATTATTCAATAATAATTGATAGATAAACAGTTCGACCGGTAGAATGTCTTTCGATCAATATTTGTGTAGCTTCGGAAAATGTTTAGTGGTCATGATAGATAGGTGTTTGTTTTCTGAATCGATTCGTTAGCTCAGTTAACGATGGTAGTGGAGACTCTCCTTATATTGCCGCGGACGAAAGTTATAAGGAGGCGATGTAACGCTTGATAATGTGTGATTTAATGCTTGACTGTGTAAAGTTATGGGACGATGTTTGTTGATATAATGCGTGACAATCTAACATTTTGGCTACGCAACGTACAGCAATCTAGAAATCACACTCAAGCGGCAATATAACGAGAGTCTACTGTATACAATGCTAGCTCAACGTTAAACGTGTTAAATACTTAATTACAACGTAATTACAATAATGTTTAAAGCAAATTATTTTATAGCTGGATCAAGCATCCCTTGGGCTGTCTCGTGAATATTTATCAAAGGGTTTCACTGACAAAATCGTGCAGGCGTATTATAGTTATATGGTGGACATCGCAGTGATTCTTGGCGCTAATAAAACTACTGCAATGGAGGAATTAAAGGAGTCGTTGGAATTTGAGATTAAACTTGCTAATGTAAGTAACTTGTCCAATTAGTCAATTTAGATGAAGAAATTATGTAGGTCTTAAACAATTTTAAGCAATTTTATCATTTCTATTTATAATTCTCAAAGTCCTCAAAAATCCTTAGCAGACTTTGTAGTTAAAGAAATACATCTATTAATGAAATAAAAATTCATATATTACAATAAAACATTAATTTTGCAGATTTCATTACCGAATGAGAAGCGTCGCAACGCAACCCTCCTCTATAACCCCATGTCAGTTCGAGAATTATCGACGACGTATTCCAGCGTACCATGGAAGGAATATTTCAACACCCTCTTAGCTCCGAGTGTTCAAGTGACCGAAGAGGAAGTCGTGATCGTCAGCGTTCCTAGTTACATTGCAAACTTACAAAAGCTTTTAGCCACCACTCCAAAGAGGGTACAAGCAAACTACGTGATGTGGAGAGCAGCTGCTTCGTCGGTCAGCTATCTCACCGACGAAATTCGAAAGAGACAATTGAAATACTCGACGGCGTTGAGCGGAAAAACGGAAAGAGAACCCAGATGGAAAGAGTGTATCGATACAGTTTCTGGTAGTTTGGCTATAAGCGTTGGGGCGATGTACGTTAGGAAATATTTCAAGGAAGATGCGAAGAAGAACGCATTGGAAATGGTGGCTGACATCAGAGAAGAATTCACGAAAATATTGAAGAAGGTATTATAAAAATTTCCTTCCTTCTTTAGCAAGATATAACTTGCAAATTTGTATAGGTCGATTGGATGGACGAAGACACGAGAAAGAGTGCCCTGAAGAAGGCAGCCTCCATGTCCAGCCACATCGCGTACCCCGATGAATTATTAGACGACAAGAAACTAGAAGAATTCTACGAAAAGCTAGAACTAACGACCGACAACTATCTTGAAGGTATTTTGAACCTGACTCTCTTCGGGGTCGAGTATTCCTTCGGTAAATTGCGGAAACCTGTAAACAAAAGTGACTGGGTGACTCACGGAAGACCAGCGATCGTTAACGCTTTCTATTCGTCCATTGAGAACAGTATTCGTGAGTATTGATTTGTAAGCTTGATAAGAGTAAATATAGATGAATGATGTTTACGTAAAATGTCATAATTTATAGAATTCCCAGCTGGTATTCTACAAGGTGCTTTCTTCAGCAACGATCGACCGAGGTACATGAATTATGGCGCCATTGGATTCGTGATTGGTCATGAAATAACGCATGGCTTTGACGACCAGGGTCGACAGTTTGATAAAGACGGAAATTTGATTGATTGGTGGGCACCACAAACGAAGGAAAAGTACTTAGAAAGAGCGGAGTGTATCATTCATCAATATGGAAATTACACTGTGGAAGATGTTGGATTGAACGTAAGGAACCTTCTTTTGTTTCCTGCATTTTACGCTGATTAAAAACACTTAATGTGACGCTGTTCAATTAATTGTAGTTCAGTTCGACGTGTTTCATTTCGACGATATACAGCTACGAACGCTTTTATTCTTGCTTATTTAGTCTAAACACACCGTAACATTTACGTCAGTTACAAATCATTGTCCGCCCGATAAGGACTCTAATTTTAGTTAGATCGACACACAAGTTCTGACTCTCCATTTACCATGTTTCTTTACATAAACTTTATCTCGAATATTGTGAGGATAGTAGTATACATACGAATGTATCTAAGACGATGTTGTTGAACGATAATGGTATCGTACAAAGCATTGACGCAAATTTCTCTTCAAAGGGGTCAAACTCGTGCATAGGTCTTCTAACTCTTGCCATAAAGTTAGATACCGAAGTAAGCATAATTAATCGAGCTTCCTTGATAACAATAGCATAATGCTTTCATCCTTATAAAAAATACGCAGTCTTTCATTATTACTGATTTATACTTTGACACGGAACCAATGTTCTTTAAGAAGGGGTATCTACGTCAAACATAACATTCCTTATCGCTGAACACATTGATAATAGTGTTCTTTTTCAATGATTAGTTTCAAACTCAACAAACTTCTTATACTCGTTTCTTTACAAAATTATCTATTGTTACATTTTTAACAAATTTTCTGTTCTTCTCTTTTTAAGAGATCATCTACCATTTTCGTAGCAAATTTTCATTTTCAGTTTCTAATCGAAGAAATATTTGAATCTGTTACAGTTAAATGGTATAAACACGCAAGGCGAGAACATTGCCGACAACGGTGGAATAAAGGAGGCCTACTTGGCCTACAGAGAGTGGGTGAAGCGAAATCAACCCGAACAAAAATTGCCGGGACTTTCGTACACACCCGAACAATTGTTTTGGATAAGCGCAGCGAACACCTGGTGCAGTAAATACAGGCCCGAAGCCATGAAGCTTCGTATCACGACTGGATTCCACAGCCCTGGAAAATTCCGAGTTCTGGGACCTCTTTCGAACATGGAGGAATTCTCCAAGGACTTCAACTGTCCCCTCGGCTCCAAGATGAACCCCGAGAAGAAGTGTGCCGTTTGGTAAATCGAACCGTGTGGATGGACGAAGCGTTAGCGGAACATTCAACAAGATTCATTGAGAAAATGAAACTCGTTCTTGCACGCAAGAACATACTTGTTACGAAAGAACATACACGATGAAAGATTTCGCAGGATTCCGTTGATGAGGTCGATTATGTTCATGATGAATAAAATTTGCCGCGTGTATTTTTGATCGATGCATCTTGGAAGCCGTTTGGAAGAATGAGTGAAGGTGTATGATCGACAATGGGACACGCAAATTGGATGAAAAGTGCAGGATCGCGGAAACAGATCTTGCGGGATGTCCAATGGTGGATCCTCGTTCGTGAATTGACTTGATTTACACGTACACACATACATATTAACATTGTTCGCTAATATAAGTCTTTTTTATAAGAGTGAATCCTCCAAGATTTCGCTGAGTATTGTAAATAAAAAGCGGCAGAATAACGGAAGGCGCGTCATGGCGATTATAAATTTTATACAATTGCGTTTAGAGATCGAGTAGGCGAGCGTGTTTAGGTTGTTGTCGGGCGACGAAAGAGAACAAGTTAAACTGTGATGATTATGTAGGAACTGACAATAAATATTGAAACGGTCATTCGATTAAAGTTACACGATGACGCGCGTAGGATATTAAATTTTTGTTAATTGTATTTTCAAATGACATTGTTTTAACCGGCACAATAGTTGACACGCGTTTTTTGCTATCTGTATAATATACGTTAGGCTCCGTTGAGCAGAATAAGGTTGTTGATTAGAGTTACCACCTCGAAGTACTTAGGCAATGTAGTATTAATCATAATTTTTAATATACAGACAGTGGAAAAGATAGTCTGTTGTTAATTTTATGCAGTTTTATTTTTTGCATATCGTATAATATATGTAATAAGCATTGATTCGTAACGTTATCGCCTTTGTTCTCGATTGCAATGGCACTTGTATCGCAGAAGAGTTTAACATTTAGAATAACGATACTCGTATTTATTGAAGTACCGTATTATTTTAAGTTCGAACAGATAAATGTATTCAGTGTATTTGTTGAGTATAAAATTTTAATATAAAAACATTAAGAAAAGATTTTAATTGAGAGTCCGTCTTCTAAATCTAGCAAATTCCTTCGGTTATGTATTTTAACCCGCAACAGATATTACAAAGAAACATGTTCAGAACAAAAACATGCGGTTTTAACAAAATTAGTTTCACGGAGTATTAGATAAAAATTGTGAACAAATAATGCACTGTATAAAAATAATACAGTCTAATACTTTGAACAATCTAATCGACATGAAACTTTCTACATCTAGCATTGTCTACATACGTGTAAAAATAATTACAAAATTTAATGGATAATTGCAAGAAAGCAGGAAATTACTGATTCAACTGCAGGGGAAATTATTCTTTTATTTCTTTGAGATAACAGTAACATCTTACGGCGCAACTAGTACAATAATACTCAGTGATATCAACAATGAGAAATTACAAGCAATTACCTCATAACTTGGAAAAAGTACTTTTCTCTAATTGCGATCGTAATGTTACACTTAATTTTAATATTCTTAAGTAAATCAAGGGATAGTTCGATTCACTTCTTTCGAAACATTTTCCCGCCCAAATTGCATTTTATTAAAATATCTTTCTATTCTACTTCTTATTTCTACCCGTTTCAGAATCGTCGAAATTCGACGACATTTCATCCTTCTTCTGAGGCTCCTCGTTTTTGGCCACTTCCGTTTTCGCTGATGTCCTCAACGTCGTTTCAGGAAGCTCCTTTTCTTGCAAGGTCTCAGACTTTTCCTTCGTCGACGATTCATTGGTTTGCTTCTCGTTTCTCGCGGCGGCTTCCTTCCTCTCGTCCTCGCCTTCCAGAAATTTGTCCCATTTCGCGATTCTGGCCTCAATTTCGGCATCAGTCTCTGTAACCCTAAAAAACAAATCGATTTGACGAGCACCGTCACCATCTTCTTTGCTTCCTCTCTGCCAATCATTCGTATTTTATTTGAGACCGTTTCAATTGTCTTGAACGATCTGAAACGAAAATGAACAGCTACGAAACGGGTGTTCAGAAGATATTGTTCAACTACAACGGCCAAGAAGTGAAAATAGTGAATTGTAAAATACGTTAAAACTTTGTACTCGAAAGGCATCTTACATTCTCCATTTGCACAAATATTCTGCTTTCCAGATTTAATCCAAATTTAATAACAAATATGTGAATTATTATCTCTCTGCAGCAAAAATATCTTCGAGTGCAAATGTTTAACAATCACAAACGAATGTAATTTTAGTAATTAATCAACGAATATTAGGTAAATAATAAAAAGTAGCATGAAAACGCAGTCGGCAATGTAGAATCCTGCTCTTGATAACGAAACGTTTTTGTCACTCTTAAAACTTCAACAACTAATAATGAAAATTTAAATAAATACCTTTTTCTGCAATAATTTATTTGATCAATGGAAAACAATTATAATATAAAAAAATAAAATGAAAAAAGAAAATATAGTTCAATGTTTAAAGAAAAATAATCTACATAGTACTCACCAAAGTTACACAGTTTTTCGTATTTTCTACAGAGTTACTGTTGGTAAAATCAGAATCGTATACCAAGAGGAAGTTACAGTCTCAAGCGGGATTGAAAGGAACATGCGATTAAATATATATCGAACAAGTTTTCTCGGAGCCGGTAAAGCTGTCGATAAAGAAGTGAAGCAAAAGGTAAGCTTACTTGTATTTCGTTTTGCCATCCCAAATTTCGGCCGATATTTTCCTCTGGCTGAACCAACGACCGTTCAATAATTGAACGCAAGCTTGCGCTTCTGCTGGTTCTCGGAATATCACCTGTGCAACACCTTCAGGATGTCTCTAGAAACATTTAGGCAAGCATTTCAATTCCATAGATACAGTAAACTCAAACTTACAGTAACAAAATATTGTATTTAAATTATTCCTTTTGAGATTACAGTACACTCAGTATACGATTTCGTAAATATACTGAAAACATTTGACAATTTTTTGCGTATTTCTGCTATTATCAAGAAATACGTCATTGCATAATAATGAAAAATGTAAAAATGGACGGAGAGCAAAGAACTCGCACAAAGTGAAATCCATTTGAATTTCACCGCCGTAAGGAGTAAAAGGAAGGTTAGTAATTACAAAAATAATTAACGTTTACAGGTATGAATAAATGCAAACTACGTCAATTAGCAAGAAAGATAAAAAAAGTCGTGTAATCTAAAATTGTGATTCCTAAGTCTTGCCGTCACTACATTAATTTTCAACGAGTTTTATATTCTTCACGCATTAATTATTTACGTCGCCGACGTAAAAAGTTCCACGAAATCAGTCATTTATTTCAATAGCCTCATTCGAGTTTCAGAACGACACCAAAGCAATTCGTATGTTAATTAAACAATGGCTCGTTTAAACCACACATCAAGACGGATGCAGGTCATCTTTTCCGTTGCATTGCAAACGCTTTGTTGCACGACGAATCCGAGGCTTCCCGTTTTACGACTTAAAGCCGTCTACGTCGCCCACAGTTCTCCACAATACTTTTCTCCCCCACGACTTAAACCACAATTTATGAGCCTTCGGTTTGAACATTAATTTTGCTGTCTGACCCCGCGCGCGACATGAAATTCTTTGTTCTTTCGCCACGTTCTGCCTCGTTAGATCAATCGACTCGTTCATCGCCTTATCCATCATTTTACTGCGCCATAGATCCCTTAAATATTGACCATCACGCTAGTATTAGCAACCTTGCGACCTCACCGAATACTGCCCGTACTTTCGAACATTTGCAAATAATTGTATATTTTAGCAAAAAATTATTATTTCAGTAAATAAGAGTACACACGACTCCAGGTATATCTGTAGACGTTCTAGGAATACAGAGATCTGGGGAATGCATAGATTAAACAAAAACCTGAAAATGTAGACTCACTTACGTGCAAAACTGGAAATATGGAACTCTGAATACATAGAAGCACGAAAATACAAAAAGTTGGATATAAATGCAGAAACACGAAACTATACACAAACGCAAATAAATGAAAAAAGGAATGAGTGAAACGCAATAAAAGACCGAATTAAAAAATAAAAAATGACCCGAGAAGTTCGACGAAACGGTGTTCCTCGAATCACCGTAAACCGAGTGAACAACCATAAAGTGTCTCAGCTGGTCGGTAAATTCGTCGGGTCGGTCTCGTCTATGGTCTTTTGATCATTTTTTCGTTCGACCAACTTTTTTACCGGGTTACACACGTGTCCCAAAAAACGGTCTGGAAAATACGGGCACAACGACGATCACGGGTAAATTGGCCAGCCACGAAATTTCCTTTCACGCGCTGCTTTTGATCTCGAACCGTTTTTCGCTGGTTCGCTAGCAGCGACATCAGGGCCCCCCATAGCAGACGATGGAATTCACTTTGACATTGAATGGATTCACGGTTGAGACGCGCCGACTGGGAGTGTCTCGTTGCGAATTTATGGGGTTAGGTCATCCCCTTTCGAAAGTTTATTTGCGGCGACTTGTGGAGGACCTTCGACTTCTTTTGTTAGAGTCCAGGGCGAATCATTCTGATCCTCGAAATATTCGATCGGGACGAATTTATGGTTTGAAATTTAATTAACACGTTCGGGACTATGTGATCGATGGGTCATCTGCTCTCTTGCCAGAACAAATATGAAGTTGGAAATTTCAGCATGTGGATCAACGTTGCGAATTTCAGCAGTACGCTGATGAAACAAAACTATCTGGATAACATCTTGTTTTATCATTTTTTAATACAGAAGTATGTTTAACAAGGATGGAAACAGAAGAGCACGGTATTAATAAAATCCAGCCTTCGAGGCATACAACTTTGAATTTCTGGTCTTGCGAATTTCGCTGACGTTCTGAACATGTTAAGCTAGCGCAACATCGCGCTGAAGTTTGATCCTGTTTCCAGCGTTCTTGCTTTCTTCGTTTTTGGAGCGAAACTTGGTGCGGTTAAGTACGGAAGTTGATTGTAGAATTTGATCGCCAAAAAAGGCAAATTCTCGTACTTCCAATTTCAAAATTTGTGAAAAGAATTCTCAAATATTACAATTTTCGAATCACACTGAAAACTATCTCAAAACCTTAGTTTCAAATTGAATCCAATTTTCAAATCACTCGCATTATGAAGATAAGAGAAAAATAGAAATGATGTAACGGAAAAGAAATTCATTTTGTAAAACAATGCATCGTCTCCATACAGGCGAAACAAGAAACAAGCTTAACGATGTTTAAAATAAAAAGCAGACTGCAAGAATAAACACAGTAAAAAGTAAGTGATTTAACGTTGCACTGTTCCATAAAACAGGAGGAATGCTAGGAAATAAAGTTGCGAGAGAATGTAGTTTAATCAATTGTTTTGTTTCTATGCAAACAAATCTGATTTTTACACTCATTCTATAATTACAATCTTTGTGTACTTGTTATATTTGCTAAATTAAATACTATTGTCTCTCATGTTACAGAAAATTCCTGTTATATTCTACATAATCTGCATTTCTTGTCACAGCATATTTGTATCATAAAAATTATTATTATTATTACAACACATTATATGTTCTAATTTGTAAATGTTAATTTCTACAACAGTCACTTCAGAGAACTGTATTTTACCAATTGCTTTTTGACACAATTAAACATAAATTGCAGATGTTAGTCTACAGAAAAAAATATAATAAATTTAATAAATGAATCGTGAAACGGGAAAAAGAATGCTGAATACTGGGCTCAATGGCAGATGTAAGACACTTGAAAAAACTCCCCACACTATATGGGTCATTAGTAAGATTTACGACTGGATGATTCGATCGTGCTTTACATTCAAGGTACTCTACTTGGCAACGTTATGAAATATTGTACGATATTATCGTAGTTAATAACCGCGATATCAAAGGGCTTGAATGTGAAGATCGTTGATAGGTCAACGATGACCTTAGCGATAGAATGTGTTAATAATCGACCTAGATTCGGGAGCTTAGGTAATGGGAGCTGTCTTCGTAATCGTCTGGGCTCATAAAACACAAGTTAATGAGATCCTTAATGAGATATTCTATCCAAATTTTATTAGATAGAGATTAAATTTCATATGCAAGAAATTATGGTTAACGTACTAATAACTAATTTTAGGCAATTTAAATTTTATTAGATATTATCCTTATGTTAATGTAGGTAATTAGTGGGTATTTAAGAGTGTATTAAATAAAATGATAATCTGACTCAACTTAGGCCACATAATTAATTAAGAATGACAAATATTTTATTTTACACCTCAAATTATTTTAGCTACTAACTAATGAATAAAGGTGTAACTACTTACATCGTAAATAATAACTTTCCGGACATCGCCGCATTTCAGGCACTCTGATCTGATATCCTGCTGGTATTCTAACAACAAGGCGACTTCTTTATCAAAGTCCTCCGGGGAAAATAGATTTTTTATAATTACAACCCTTTCATGTTTCGCTGGCTCACCCAGTGGACGTTCTGGTCTCCAATCAAACAATCTGTAATAAAAAGATTTAGGTCATGAGCAACATCCATTGTAGCAGTATTCTTTAAACTGACAAAGAATTTCCCGTTTCTTTCAGTTAATGGAGAAACAGCTTATAAATAATACTTTGTATTTCCTTTTAACATGATATTTTTTTTGTTTCCATTGGTGATGATTAAAATTTCACAGTTAAATGTACATACAAATTATTAAAATTGTAAAAAAGAATTTGCTGAAATATTAGTCTATTTTTATTTGAAAAAGAGACTAGTTAAAAAATTTCTATAATTCATGTGCAATACATGACAAATCTGTAAGTAAGCATTACAAAAATTTGCTAAGCTGTTAATTTTTTGAGGTTCACAGCTTATACATATTGTGAAGGTACATAAGAGCTCTACCCTTCTGTTTGATACCATATTTGAAATTTTACAAATATTTAATATCTATGGCCACGATTTATTAAACGTAGGAAGTGAATTGAGCTTTACATCAGGAGATTTCCCAACGTTACGATGTTTCATATTCATCAGAAAGTCATTAAGTTTCGAATTTTATAGCTTCATACCGCCTTCAAGAACGAAAAAAAAAAACCAAAGAAAAAATCCAATAAACTTTAATTTATTCAAATATTCCGATGCATACCGCAGGTGCTTAATACTCCCATCAAACTGTACATACCAAGCACAAGTTTTTCTAACAATTTTTTTCCCGATTTAACTTAGACTACTCTTTTTCGAAATTTAGTTGGTAACGTGGAAATCGGCGATCAATCACGTAACCACGAGTGTAGAAGTTCAAGAAATTTGCATAGGAAGCGAAGATGTATTAGAGTGAAATAAACGTCCATAGGTGTAACGAGATAATCACTTCTAAATACAGAGAATATTACGCTATGATGTAAGAGTGGGTGGTATGTGTGGCCTTTTGCATTCTGCAGGGTGTGAACTAACCATCACTACGTGGTACAGTGATTTTATAGCACAAACATACGTCAACGAGTTATATTGCCTGTATTGTGAACAAGAACTATAAATGCATACGTTACAAGTTAAAGGACGGCCACACGATTCTCATGATTGAATCACGGCACGTATTTACGATTTTGTTGTCTGCGGACTGAAATAGAAAACGAGAGATTCGATCATACGGTATCATCGAGACAAATAAAAGAAATGTATCATGCCTCAACATTCTTTAATGACTAAGAATACAACGAGGAATAGTGTTCTAGAAACTTAGAAATATAAAAATATCGAAGTAAATCAATTTTTAAATATCAGAATGTAGAAAAAAATTAAGAAATTAAGAATTATGAATACCACAAATTCTTGAACAATTAACGTCAGTGATACACATCAGTTTATTCCAAATAAAACAAATATGACTTTTACCGTCATTCCTGTTTTTATTGCTTCCAATTCGTCATCGCAAAATTTTTGCGAAACACATAATTTTTTAAGTCGAGTGTAAATACCTATTTTCGTGAACGTATGATGAATATCGACCCAGATGACTGAACCAAAAATGCCGGTCTAGTCATCGACCATTCCACCGAATCTGCTAAGCAATCTCGATATAGTTTCACGTAATAATTTATGCAGTCGTTGTATCGCACGCAAATTGTCCTATAAATTCCCGGAAAAAGCGTAGAGAAATTCGAGTATGATTCATCGCCGCTTCCTAGCTAAAATCTCCTCATGATACCGGGATCATTTCGGTAAAATAAAAAAGAGGTATGTAAACGTTGGCATCGAGCAAATATATTGCAACAGTGAAACCCGCTCCTCTTACATATTTATCGCGAAAGACAAATGTTTACAGTGACAGGAAATTAACTGGAACGTGTTATCTCGTTAATTTTATTCACGAATGAGGCAATCATTAAAAGTACTGCCGTTCATCGCTGATATGATTCATTCAATTCGAATGATAATCACGTTTCTAAATGTAGGTGTCTATTTGTGTTTTAAATTCCGCTTATTCGAAGACAATGCCTTTTTATAGTGTTAGAATAAGTAGACATTCTTATATCAGATATCTTCAATTCATTACGAATGAAATTTTTAAATATTGAGAAATATATTTGACTCTCAGTATATGGCCACTTTTATATATATTTTTAAGAATACTGCAATACTGATGTACGACTATGCATTACATTACTGCATGTTATATAGCCACGAGTGGTTTTACTACGCGTCACATCACCACGCGTTATATTGCTACGCGTAGTATCGCTACGCATTATATTATCACGCGTTATTTTTGCCTCACGTTATATCATCACGCGTGATATTGTCTCGCATTATATCGCCACGCGTCATATTGCCCCGCGTTATATCGCCACGCGTCAAATTGCCTCGCGTTATATCGCCACGCGTCATATTGCCTCGCGTTATATCGCAACGCGTGATATTGCGTCGCGTTATATCGCCACGCGTCATATTGCTTCGCGTTATATCGCCACGCTCGATATTGCGTCGCGTTATATCGCCACGCATCATATTGCATTACATTATATCGCCACGCGTCATATTGCCACGTGTTATATTGCTACGCTTAGTATCACTACGCATTATATTACCACGTGTTGTCTTGCCTCACGTTATATCGCCACACGTCACATTGCCTCACATTATGTCGCCACACGTTACATCGCCAGCTAAAGTAGACCAACTTAATATATTGCAAATTCCAAAAATTCTTTTACCATTACAACTGCATTCATTGCAATATAACGAGAGTCCAACATATCTCTTTTTTTGCAGCTATTTAATCGTGACTAATAAATGAACTAATTTTTAACATGAATACATCTTAATATATAGCATTTCGCTATTATTTATCGGTTTCTGCATTTGCAGAATTTTGTAACATATCGGCGGATACAGACGTTTCGCTACAATCGATCGGACAACAAAGACAAGATTGAATTTCGACAAGCTAAAAACGAAACAATAACTCCGATACGAAATATCTATGAAAAAGCATCCGCTTAAATTCTTATGACAATAGCACGATTCAACAGACAATTGGCCGAGCAATTAAACAAAACTGAATGGCGAACTATCAAGCGGATTGAACAATACAACGAAACCCGAGGTAACAACGAAACAACATGTTCAATCATTCGATCAAAGCATTTCAACAGCTAGCAATACGAAAACAATCGGCGCTTCCACTACTAAAATCTACATATACGCGATTAAACCGCTTTACGGTCAGCAACCGCTATCAATCGTGCGAAACACGACGCCAATACAAATTGTGCTTACAATTTCAACGAGTAGTCTTAAAAAATCGCGTGAGTAAGGACAAGTTGTTTGGTACAGGAAAGGTTCTGAATACGAGAAGATTTAAAGTACGATCACACTTTGTACTTTATTCACGAATGTTGTGATAAATACAGTTTCAATACCTGCTTTCATATTGTAAGAAATAGACATTTTAACCATTGTTACTGTATCGAGAATAAATTTGTTAAAATAGGCGGTTGGACAAAATTTTACGTTCATATTTTACTATTTACAGCAAGTTATTTATTTATATAGGAGGTGCTTTAGTAATTACCTCTTTAAAATCACAAGTTAAATTTTTGTGAATGTAAAATCATTGATCACGTATTTAAAACGATATCGATTAACTTTAAGAAAAACATGACCCTGAGAAAAAGTACTTGTCACATTTGTTCACCTGATACGTAATAGCCCTTTGACATTTTCGCGAATGATTAAATATCCTGTAATAAAAATAGTGAACTCTGTAACAGTAAATATTAAATTTACTGAATCGAACTAGCGAACAAACTCTGCATTTTCTACTACCATACCATGGAGACCATAAAACGTTGAGACCGTTACGGAATCGAGTCGCTCGATATTCGGACAGGGAGAAAATCATGTGAAATAGGAAACGAGATAGTGGTTCGATTGGTGAACGCGAAAAGACCGTTAGAAGTAAGACTTCCGGCAAAGAACAGTCAAGGTGGGCCCGGTTCGTTCGTAAATAACTGGTTTTCACCAAGTTCAGGCCATCGAACCCTGGCCTCTCGTCCTGCGGCGGATAACCGTGAGTACCAATGAAGACGGCAAATATTCGACTAACCGATGATTATGGACACCACGAACCGATAAGAAACACCGACTGAATTAAAAATTTCCGATCGGACAATTCTGGCTGCAGTCTTCTTTCCAATACTGCGACTGACTTATAAATTATATTATTACAGAAATTAGGCGGTCAAGATTCGGGTAACTTTTAGTCATCGGGTCTGCAATATCAAAAATATAAATTACAATTTTCTAAGTAGTATGTTTAGTGTTAAAGTGCTGAATGTTCAATCGATTAAATTACGTTTTAAGGAATTTTTGTTTAAATGTACTGGGTTTCTTGTTGTATAAATTATTCAGTACTTTGTGAATATTTTTCGATATTTTTCATGTCTATTATAATAATATGCAAATTTCTGTATTTCTGTATTGTATGCTCAGTTTTCATATTTTGCAGATTTGTATATTTTCTAACTTTTGTATGAGATAGCTACATTTTTGAATTTCTATATTTTAAATACCTGTATCTTCAAATTTTTATATTCATAATCACCTATGTTTCCTGATTCTCGTATCACTGTGCACACTTTCAAATCACTATATCTATAAACTTGTATCCATCTACCTTTTTTCAATATTTATATAAATTATTTGTATAAATTTCAATATTTCTCAACAACCATGACTGTATACTTAAATTAAGAAATCGATAGAACACGAGCAAGATTTCCCCTTGCGAAATAAACGACAAATGACAGATCAATACAGAGAGATATATTGCTATGTGTTAAAGAACATTTCAGAATATTTGCCAAGAACGTGTGTATACCGTAACTAAAGTAAATCGAGCGTAAGGATGAAGCGTGTCTTGATTTCTCCGAGATTGAACAGAGCCGTAGGATGCGCATTCTCTGACGGTTGCCAGCACGAAAAGATGAATGAACGGGTATGAATGAAAAGAAACGCTTGAAATGCTCTAAGACACAATTTTACGGGAGAGCCGAGCGTGAGAATTCGCCTCGTTCCGAGATGCCTCTTGCATTCTGACGACAAAAAAACTGTCGCTCTTTCCTTTGATCATATTCTTCTTCAACTCGTACAATACATGCTTGTGCAATTCTATTATAACTACTATTTACTGTATGATCAAATTTTAGAGAATCTATAATGGCAGCGAAGATACCACTTTACTCCATTATTCCCTCCATTTTACTTCGGTAGATACTGAAGTCAAGAGGTAGTAAAGTAAACTTTTTAATATGTAATTAAATAATATTTGACGAAATATTAATAACAATTTTAACATTTATATTTTAGTAAATTTTGTCTGACTTTATGAGACGTGTATTTTAATATATTAACGAAATCATTAAACTTCGTTTAATACAAAAAAAATAAGATTAATAATTTTCTGTTACTTTACATAATACTTACGTTCTTATGTTCTTATCACATGTTCGTCTTTTAAAAATAAACTCTGTATGTTGTAAAATATATAAGTTCGATTATATCATAATTTCATTCCCTTACATCACAAGTATGATTAATAAACTTGTACGAACATTAACTCTGTTAATCTTACGCATTACAAAAAGGTAACCAATAAAAATAAAAAGAATGATCAGCCCGTAGGTCAGCTTCGACGATGTACAATTATACAAGTATTAACGAACGAAAAATAAATAGGAAAAAAAAATATTCTGATCCTGAATGCGACTTACTTTTCGTGGATCTTTTTCTGTCGTTCCTTATCCTTTTTTTTCCGTTTCGGTTTCAAGGCTGGATCGTACGCGTCTCCCTTCATTTGAAACTTTGCCCTCTGTACAGACAATGTTTTACCCCTGATTTGCGACTTATCCAAGATCTTTAATGCCAAATCCACCGATTCGACCTAAACAAGAAAAAAAAGAAAACAAAAAGATCAGTTTCGTTCACGTTGCACTATCAAGTGCAATTTATCCTTTTATCGCACGAGATTCAAAGTTAGGTATACATTTAATCCCCGGATAAACTAATCCGTGCTTAGTGCTATCTTTCTGGATCTAATTTAATTCTGAATGAAATTTTCCAACGTGTGAAAACAACGGGCATTCGAATGAAATTTAAGAAATTTAGAAAATCTAAGAAATTTTGAAATCTGGCAATTTTGGTATTTAAGTGACTGAGGTATTTGAGTTTGAAAATTTAAGAACTTGGAAAACTCGTGAATTTAGGTATTTGAAAAATTTGAGAACTTGAAAATCTCCTTATAAAACATAGGAATTTAACAATTCAGAAACGTTCAAAACTAGAAAATTTAACCAGTGTCCAAATAATAAGTCGAACATATGTGAAAATTTCTATAATTTGTGAATGTAAAAATTCAAAGCGTCAATTTATTAAAATTTATCCGTGAAAAGTCATTCGATCAAAGTCGTAAGTCTAATGTTTGAGAAACATTAGCAAGTTCAAACTGAAGCAAACATCTGTGACCCCACCTCGCCATCAATTCACACGCCACGATATTAATTAATTCGTCCTCGCAACGTTCGAATGAATCGACGTTGACTTTCAACCAGCTGCGATGAAATATTAAAATCAGGCCATCGAGAAGAGGGATACAGTTTTTGCACAACACGCACCATCGATAATTAACGTGCAACGTAAAAATGCGCACATTTAATAACTCAAAGTTTCATGGTCTGTCATATTGAATAAGATACCCTTGATACATCGATTGGATCGTTCAAAAGCACCAAAAAAGAGTGGTTTAACGAAATTTGTTCGGTTACTCTGTACGCCGCATCATCGGTTTTTAATCTGTAATCTCGATGCTCAACTTTATTTGAAACACTGTACATCAAAAAATTTATTGGTTTATTTTAGAGATTTTATAGGAAACGTTTTTGAGAACATGAGGACTGCACTTTATAAAATAAATACAGTGTAAAAATTAAAAATTATTCAAACTTGCCTATAATAGATTTAAGCCACACATTTTTGATGCTAAGATAAAAGTGCTAATTCCTGAAGAACTCATCTCAACTGATTTATATTAAATATTCTTGTAAAAATAAAAACCAAGATTATAAGAATACAGTTAGATGAATATAGTGTAACAAAAATTTGATCCTATTTTAAATAGCTAAAATCCTTGAAGTTGAGATCCTGAAGTAGTTTAAAATGCCTTAACAAGTAGAACCTAAGATGTATACCTAAAGTTTCCAAAAATAAAATTCGCAGTTACAAAGCTTGAAATTTATTTAGAAAATTAAACCCAATATGCAAGACACGAAATGACTGAATATTCCCTAGTGCGAAAACTTGTCTGACCTATATCACAAGTTCTTCCAAGCGTTTCATGAAACCAGACGTTCCGCGAAAAATGTTACGTCGTAATTACCACTATCAAAGGCAAATACAGTTGTCACGCATAAATCGGCGGATAGCACTCGATTAGTGAAAAAATACCAAGCAGATACAAATGGTAAACCCGACAGAACCGGTAATTCAATCAGATTTATTTTCAAACAGCGAACTGTAGAGACACTTTTAAACATGTCGTTCACGACGAGACTTCGAGAACGGACGACTATGTCAGATCTTGATCGTGAATTTTCCCCTAGACGCATATTAGTCTGCCACCTGGGCCGTTGCACACGGGGTGTGTCACGAATAAATCAATCTTTGCTTATCGAACGTTCCTGCATTTCTCGAGAGAAATATAGAACTGGCTGATGAAGCTCGCTCGTCTTTGATATCTCGGTTCAGAGTGTTAGTAAAAGTTCGAACGCGAACCTGACGTTACTTCCTGGCTGGCAAAAAATATGGAACATAGGGAGGATATATGGAGGGTTAAAAATACCGCTGTAAATGGAAGAGGGTAATTTCTGCGGCTAGTTTGAAAGTTGAACGATTCGCGAGCTAACTCACGGTCAATGAACTTCTGAAATATCGATACTGTTTTCCGCTCCGGGGATGAAATTTAGGTATCGGATTCTTGCGCCGCGGAATTTTGCGTTACGGTAATATTTATATTAAGATAAGGGAATGCATAGTTGAACTATCGAATGGATCTGAGAGTGGTAGTTCGTTATAACGTTAGGAATTTTGAGCTATTGGAAATTTGGAAATTTGGGTACTCTAAAATACTGGTGATTATCTCAGGTCTCCATAAAATCCACGAACCTCTATTATATACAATACGCTATAAATTGCATTCATATGTGCAACATACATGTATGACGCATATACGTGCACTCCGACCACACGTGATCGTACTTTACAAATCGTCTATTATATTAATACTGTTGACGTTCGTTAAAATAACACTTCAGTTCAAAATGATGTGCATGTATTTCGAATATATTAATGTTACCTCACCGGTACAAAAGCTGCTGCTGTGTTAATAGATGTATACAGGACTAGTGTAGGTCCCGAAAATGGGTAGGGGATGTGATTCTGAATAACTTTTTCTTCTGCAAAAATAAGGTTCGAAGCTTTATATTTGAATTATTAAGCCTACCCAAAGCTTCAAACCCCATTTTTGCAAGGAGAAACCTCCCTTATCACAAGTTTCTGGGACCTACACTAGTTATGAGACACCCTGTATAGCATAACGTTGAGTCAGAAGGGTTAAAAGTCAGTTGAAAGGAAACTTGGCCAAGATTGTAGAACAACGTAACGTTGACCGATACACCTGGTATTCTCAATGTGCCTACGATGTATGCCGACAAACAACTGAACTTTCACAATTGACAACCAGTTGTTACTGCTTGGCTACAATTTCTTGGAAACTCGTTGACTATGATTTCCATGCTTTTTTGGCGAGCCTTTATACCGCAGAAAGAATCATACAAACAACGTGCCAGGAATAACAAATAGATAACGTCACTAGGTTAATAAACGGGGACAAACACGAAGAAAGTATCTGTAGGTTAACGAGGATCGCAAGAAAATTATATTCTTACGAGAATATTGATTTGATACTCTAAATCGAGTTAGCCTTTTAGCCTAGAATTTTCTAGAATGTCATTCAAAACTATGTAATTTTTGTTATAACGTTGAGATAATTAAAGAAATTTTAAGCACATTTTGTCTAATACTTGATTGTATAAATTATGATTACGAGTTAACACAAAATTCAATTGCGAGGAGGATACGGGTCTGGCTTATTATATTCTAATTGTAGTGTGTGTCATGAGTGTGATACGATATTGCAAGGGCAAGGAGTTATATTACGTGAAAATTTGTATGTATTTGTGATCGTATGTGGAGTGCAACTCGAAACAGCATTTGGTTAACTTGAAAATTTGTGTACTCTACATGTGGAGTGTAACGTGTAGAATGTAACTACATATGTAGTATAACATGTGAAGTGTATCTAATTGTGAAAGGTAACATATGGAGTGTATCTACATGTGGAGTATAACGTGTAGAATGTAACTACATATGTAGTATAACATGTGGAGTGTATCTACATGTGAAGGGTAACATATGGAGTGTATCTACATGTGGAGTATAACATGTGGAGTGTAACTACATATGAAGTGTAACGTGTGGAGTGTAACTACATGTGAAGGGTAACATATGGAGTGTATCCACATGTGAAGTATAACATGTGGAGTGTAACTACATATGAAGTGTAGCTGCATATGAAGTATAACATGTGAAGTGTAACATGTACAGTGTAACTACATGTGGAGTGTGACATGTGGAGTGTAACTACATGTGCACTCTAATGTATAACTACATGCAGAATGCAACATATGTAACATACATATCTAGCTACATGTGAAGTAACTATAGAAATGTTATAAAGAATTATTAAGAAAGTGGAATTGGCATCTCGAAGTTCATAATTCAGTTAGCTAGTGCTATTTTATGGTGGGGGATAAATCATCGCCTCGAGGTGTTTCATAAATTTCATACTTATATAATGAAGTCAGTAAACACGATTGTCACGTTCGCTCATTAATAAGTTGCCAATGCAATGAAATTGAACTTTACAGTAAAACGACGATAAAAGCGAAGTGAATGTTTAATTAATACAATTTTGTATAATTAAATATTACAATTTAATGCCTCCCTTTTCAGATAATTACCGGAAACTTTAAAATTCTCCCGGTACAAAATGCATTCCAGAAATGAATGTATTCATACCGTACAGAACTGGTCCGCTTTGCAGAAAAATGAAATATGCTAATTGAACTAATTGAACTAAATGAAACTAAATGATGAAAATGATTTGGACCGTCAAAGAGTTAATTGATGTCATGGTAGCAGTTACTTTTTTTTAAACAGTTGTAAAATGTATTTTGAAAAAATGTGCACTATGCACAGTAATTATGCAGGCGCCGTACACAAACAAGGAATTCACTGCAATGACTAAGTATGCAGATTTAGTGATGTTAATTTTGACGATGATGTAATGGTACCGAGACAAGTCCTGCTTGTAATGGTGACCTACAAAATGGTATCCCCTCTCGTTCGTTATAAAACATGACAAAGTGTACAGAAAAAGAAAATGATACTTTTATTTGATCTTTAGACTCAGACACTGTAATAATCACATACAAATAAATATCAACATTGCATTCCTAATTTTATATTCTAAATTATATGCACATTTTGTATTATCTAGATATCACTAATGAATATTGTAAAAAAATCTAAGAATTATAGAGTTGCTTCTTTTTTTATCGAGTATTACAGATGAGTTAATAAATTCTTCCTTAAGAGTCGTCTAAATTTGAATAAATTTAAAAATGTTAATTTTATTATAAAATTTAAGGATTTAAGAATCTTTATAAATTTAATAACTGGAAACTTTTTAAACTCAAAAATTTGTTACTTTAATTTGACTCACTTAGAACTCTAAATATCACCAGAACCTTTAATAAGACTATAGAC